GCAGTCTCATTTTAAAATCACCTGGAAACCCAATGGTGGCTATATTTAACCAAGTATTTTAAAGTGTCATTTTAGAGTTCAATCGTATCAAGGTGTATTTCAAATAAGAAGACCACTATTTTGATTTTTCATTTTGCCAGAGTTCATCTCTTAGTCTTGGCTTATTATGTTCTAGTCTTTCCTTTCTGTCTTGCTGTCTGGCTTTCAATGATTGTATTATTTACTAACTTTCACCAGTTGTAGAGCATGAAGAAAGATGAAAAGCTACAATGAGACGAACACTGCTTATCAATTACTACATATTATAAAGCTCTGGTAGAAGAAGAGGTTGAATCTAGTATACCCAATAAGATGGCAGCACCAATCTTGGGAATGCCTCCATACTGCCTGGGATAAGCAGAGAGACTGAGAGCTGGCTGTAGCTTACTTCTGTGTCCACATCTACCTCTGCATAATCTTAGCCTTTAATCCCTCACCTGCATGAGGATTAATATCTTTGTCTTTGTCGTAGGCTGTAACAGACTACTAAAGCACAGGTTCCCATGAACAGGAAGAACTGAGAGCTAGGCCAACTGCTTCTTACGGAAGCAAGGGCTTCATTTCACTGCCTCGAGGGTTCTGTTTTCTATCGCAGTGCTCCTCACCTTATTCCTTGCTCTGTAAATGGCGTTGGTCCACAAATGCAGATGAGGACTTTGGATTTGTCTAAACTTCTTTTCAAAAATTCAGAAACAAGAGCTGGTGAAATGTGTCCCTGTTTGCCAGTCCATTCAGATGTAGGTGCTGAGAGAACAAATTCAACGTCATATCTAGAGAAAAGAAACATTTTTTGAAAGTCTATTACTTTAACATATTATTAACACGTTTCAAGTTCACTGAAACTTTTTTTCTCATTGAAAACAATATAATATATAAAAACTGATACATTTGGTAGGAAAGCCCTGGAATAGCTATAGGCAAAGGCTCAACAAAAACATACAAGGTAAATCCATATTTACTAAGGATCAGCTTTTGCTACGATGAGAAGAGTAATTGGGCATTTTTTATTGAACTCATTAGAAAGACAGCTCCAAGAGATCTTGGAGAACTCCACATTTCTATTGATCACCTGTTCACACTTAAGTCACAGTAAAGAGCAGTTACCAGTGATGTGCATTTTAATGTGACTCAGACTTATGAGTTCTAGACCCTTATAACCAACGGCCTATTTGACTTCTTACTGTTGCTGTCTCAAAGGCCTCAGCCTCACCTTACAATCTGCCTTCCCCACACCTGTGTTCTCTTTGTGAGCGGTGCCATAGTCCACTTGGTGGCACAAGCCAGACACCTGGGATTTATCCTGGGGACTTCTCTGTCCCTCATTCCCCACACCCACTCCCTCACCAAGTCCTCACTCCTAAAGATGTGTCTGCTTCTCTGTCTTCCCTGTCACAACACTGCCCATTCTCCCCCTTGTTTCTGTACTGCCTGATCCCACCCCATTCCTCTCCACTAAGCACCATTTCCACAGGGAAGCACTATGGCCCCACCAGTCTGGGATCCTTCGTTCTATGTGATGTAGAAATGTTTTCCGTTTTCTTTTCTTCAGAGAACTTACTTCAGGTTGTAATTGTGTGGTGACCAAGATGGTGAATTTTATGAATATCTACCTTCCCCACTAGACCACAACCTTCAGGAGAGCAGTGACCATGACTGTTGTGGCTGCCACTATATCCCTAGCGGTGAACACACAGGAGGCGCTCAAACATTATGGAATGAAACATATGAAAGAAAGAAAAGGGATACAGAATTAAAATGAGAAAGAACATCAAACCAAGTTTCACAATGCAACCACAGAGTATTTCTTCCCACAGTTGTATAATCTGTTAAGTGAATGGCTGGTGAAGGGCGACAGCCAATGTTCAAAATTCTATGTTGTACCTGTTCCCTTTGCTCCATTTTAGCAAAACACAATTAATTAATTCTTATCATTTTCAATAGCATCAGATCAAATTCATTTCTACATTTTCCAGTGAGTAAATGACATTATTTCCTCAAGAGTAGAAGGAATTAATTATACATTAATTTCAATCTTAAGAAAAAGTTTAAAGGGCCGGCTGAGTGGCTCCGTTGGTTAAGAGCTCTCTCAAGAGTGCGAGCTCTGAGCAACAAGGTCGCTGGTTCGATTCATGGCCTGAGCTGAGCTGCAGCTGAGCTGCCAACAGGTGGCAGGATGGCTCAGCTAAAAAAAAAAAATAAACAAACAAACAAACAAAAGAACAGTTTCTCTTGTGAGGGAACCTGGGGAGCTAAATATCAAACAGAAACAGGATGTGGCTGGTGCAGCTGCCCTCACGTCATCACTGTCGCCTTGCTGCAGTGGGGTCAGGTTTCCAGGAGCTGAGGAGCCTGGCACAAGCTCAAAGACCACCTCAGGGCGCCAGGCGGGGCGAGAACCAGCCTCAGCCTCATGCAGACCCCTGCCTCTAGCTCCTGTTGATGCATTTGTGGACCAAGGTGGGAAAACTACATCATCTCTTATAATTCTAAAATTCTGATTTTACATTTAAAAACCCCATAGAGTTATGTTTTATTTCTTACCTTCAAGGCTCTCATTTAGTTTTAGCAGCAATACTAACCCACCCTATACAAAATAGCCTTCCCAAATATTTTCTTTCACTAACTTATTTTTCCTTTCTAGCACTTAAGATAGTTTTAGATAAATCCAGAATGTAACATTTGTTTACTGTCCATGAGGGCAGGATCCTTGTCTGTCTTGTTCAACGTTGTGTCCGGGCCTGGCTTAAGGTAAGTGTATAAAAAAAACTTGTTGAATAAAGTAATTTATTTACAAAGAAGTCATACTGACTAAAAATAAAAATTGTAGATAGAAGAAAAAAGCCATATGCTGGCATCTATGAAATTACATATAAAAATGTGTATGAATTCCTAAGTGCATTTTTCTAGGAAGAAGGTCCACAGCTTTCATCAGATTACCAAAGGGGGCCCAAAAACAGCTGCAGAACTACTATCTTAAGAAATTTCTAATTATACATAGACAACTGGATAAAAGATAGCAATTACCTTGTTAAATTAAAAATAATAGTCTTCTCTGGCTGGTTCCAACAAGTCTATTACTGGAATAAAACTGCTAAGGTATATAAATAAATATTGGCATTCCTGTCATCTAAAAAAGAATCATAATTTTCCTTAACTGAGATGCTTAAAACAAAAAAACAAAAAAAAAAACCTAGTCAGTGGCATACCTTCTGCAGGTATCTACATAACAGTGACAAGTAACTGAGATACCCACATAAATGGTGCAAACGTCTCATGCATTTTTTTATTTATTCACATAACGGTCCTTAGGCTATAACTTTTGTGTACTCAACAGAAAAAGTTAATAGGGACATGAATGCAATTTTTAAGGATATTGTCAAGAGTCTGCTATCCTGCTTATCTCCTTCTTCACAGGACTAGCAAAGAGCTTAACTGGAGAGGAGCAATCCCGAGTTAAAACTCAAGAATACTTTAACAAAGGATTTCTCATACCGCATCAAGATACACACAGATGGTTACTGTGGAAACAGTCACCTTTTCTGCAGTTTTCTGAACGAAGGCCAACTTACTGTGTGAAACAATTATAGCCTTCAAGCAGGGGAGGGCACATTGGTCAATGTCCTGAAATGCCTTTCTGCTCAGTGATTTCAAAAGTGCCAGAGAAGACTGAAAGTCTTGAAAAGGTTACCTGACAATACATTTACATAACCTATAAAGTGCAAATCAACATTTTTTAAAAAAGAGAGAGAATATACCTGCTTCTGATGAATACCTACATGGTCTAAATGTCAATGGACGAAAATAAGCTTGTCAAAAAATATTTTAAAGTAGATTGACAATGATCTGAGATGAAAAATCTTGACGTATAAATATATTCACTCAGTCTAAACCATATGCAGAGTCTATGACTACCCAACAACCCGTTCCGTCCTTCTCCAGCCCATCAGCTTCCAAAACCAACCTCCTGGATATTTCTTACACGCGTGCCCTGCCTTCCCACTTTTCCTGTCACAAAACCAAGCGAGGCCCTCGCATCTCTTGTCTACAATACAGCAGTATCTAAGAGCCTCAGTCCTAATCTATCTGCAACACCACTGCCATGTTAGTTCTTCTAAAAACCCACGTCAAAGCTTACCATTTCTTTGCTTAGACTTCAGTGACTTGTCACTGCCCACACAAGAGGATTTCAGAGGACTTGGGGTCCCAGCTTTTCCTGGTTTCTCTAGCTGAAGAAAAATACTAGAGATAGCAGGAAAACTTGCTATTTGCTCATGGGGAAAATAGCTCACAAAATAAACAGCTAGGGGTTAAAATTAGATAAAATGTACAAATTATGGAAACATTTCTCAAAATGAATCTGATACATCACGAGTGTTCCTCCAGATGTTAGTGGTATTCCATTAAAAAGACTAACTGTCTTTAAGTTTGGGACACCTGGGTTTAAAAAACAAGTAAGTAGATTTCTTTACAATTTCTCAAAGCCTTGAATACGTTAGGTTCAGAGTAAATCTTCAAGAAGGTAATAGAGTGCACACTGATTCTTATGTATAATCACAGAGCCCTTTGGGAGGACACATGAACATTTCAAGAAACACATTCCAAAAAACACACCATTTGAGGAGCATCTTGGAGGAACAGAAAATGGTAGAAAAGTCTAGATTAGGGGCCCACATATCTGTGAGCATTACAGGCTGGGGGAATAGAAGGGGGTTCTGCACACCGTTCAATTTACTTATGCTTCTGCAATCACTGGCTCCTGCTATCTTAAATGGGACTAACACATCGATTGTCCCATACTGACACCAGGGTACAGCAACGTAGTCAGTCATTACCTATGGAGCCTGTCAGTAATAAAGGGAGCTAAGCTGCTGAGGGCTGCCGGGCCTTCCCATATCCATCTAATACATATTAATATGTGAATTACATTTAAGGTCTCCCAGCACCTGATTTCAGCCTTCCCTGTTTCTTCAACTATAAAACAAGAGGATTAGAAGCGATCACCACTAAGACTCCTTCTAATATGGATATAAAATTTGATGGTTTTATTTTTACAAAGTAATTTTGCATTGTTCTCATTCATGCACTATATTTACTTCAACAGAACTGGACTCTGTTCTTTGGCTAAAACACTGAACATCCTGACCCTCATGTTTTTCTGCTCATGAAATCCTACTACCCACATTTCTTTTTCGTGTTCACAGAGATGCTAAGTGTCACCCAGAGCCCCTTCTTCTGAGCTCTGATCTCCCCACCCTTACCAAAATAGGATTATTCTTTGCTCTCCCTAGACTTCCATAACATATGATTTGTTCTTCTCTGAGCACAGACTTTAGTTACTGCTGTACTTGAGAACTCCTCCCTGACAAGGGCAGTCTTACTCATTTTGTATTTTTTTCCAACATTAAACACATTTTCTAAATAGTGAGCACACAAATGCTTGAAGGGATGTTATGACTGTGGGCGCATATTAACTGGGCATATAATCCCATCTTTGTGTCCCACTCCCTTGCTGCTGGTAATCCCTTTCTTTTTCTTTCTCTTATGCTCCAACCACCAACCCCATGTTTTCTAAAGGAAAAATAGGACACTGGCAATATTAACTGTGCCAAGTACAGTATTTTTTTTACCTTTCTAGAGGCTATTTGTCAAAATGCTTCAATAGCCGTAGTATACGCTGACTTAGAGACTCTTCTGATGAATTTTTATCCTAACTAGTTAGAGGTACAAAACAACTTTGATTCACTATGTCAAATGGTAGGAGATTGGTTAAATTATGGGATGCTCACATGACTAAATATTGTAGCTATTAAAAATCAGGGTCTAATACAGGTTTTCCCAACTGGCACTACTGGGATTTGGGGTTGGATATTTCTTTGTTGTAGGGGACTGTCCTGTGCATTACAGGATATTAGCAGCATTTCTGACCTCTATCAATTAGGTATCAGTCAAACCCCCTCCATCAGATGTTATGATCAGAAACGTCTCCAGACATAAACATCCCCTGCTATATGTCAGGATGATGAGTGATTCTTTTTTCTTTTTTTTTCTATATAAATACGTATTAATTTTATAAACAGAAGGAGAAAGTTACCAAATCAACAAATTCTACTATTTATACAAAAGTATACTCTTAAGCTAGTAGCTTTACTAAAATAAGGTTATTGTCTTCAAAAATGACTGCTTTGAAAGGGGAGGAAAATACTTGTTATATTTATACATTACAAATGCTGTCCAGTATTCAGCATCATTGTCAAACTGTCCTATCCCTTGAAACGAGTTCTGCAAAGGCTGAGACATCAGAGACAGTGCATTCTATTGAGGGGCAGGGAGACCAATATGTAAGACTGCATCAACTAGGCCTCATAACACTGGTCAACAGTTAGAGAGATGAGTGAAATTTAATTTGGATTCCAGTTTGCAAAGTAATGAGCCACATTTGCTACTGCACACATTTGCTTCCTGTTTTCTCTCTTCTTTTTTTAAAGAAAAATTAATGTGTGAGATTTTGCTCAACTTGGAATGTTGTGAATTGAGTTCCAATACTGGAGTTAACAGTCAAGTGTAATAACGTATTTGGAAAAAATTAGGTAAGTTAACTTTCTTCATTTCAAATTTTACACTTAATGACATGAAAACTGATTGAAATAGAAGTATCTTAAGTGAATACTTACAGTACACCTATTTTTTACAATTCTATTAAGTTTAGCAATGTGGGAAGATAGATATTCCCTGGATTGCATGAGAAAATAAGCCAGCACATATCTTGTTCACTGTTGTACCCCTGTGTACAGGCACACAGTAGATGCTCACAGGTATTTCATGAATGAATGAATGTTACAAATAAGCTCATTCTGGGTTAGACACCTCCTATGCTATCTCACTGCCCCCATCCCCCAACAACTCTATGAGGCAGGTACTGATGTCCCTGTTCTACAGATGGAAAGACTGAGGCCCAGTCAGATCAAGTAACTTGCACAATGCCACAAGGTTAATAAGTTTCCATTCTACAGTGATATTTCTAAGAACTACATTTGCTAATGATATTATCTAGATAACCTCTGAGGACAAGCATAGCACGCTTCCTGAAAATGAAAATATTAGATCCTTATTAGATTCCACAAAGGATTGACTGGAAGGCTGAGACCTAATCCTACGGACAGTAGAGTGTTTCACTTGTTTTAAGTACAAAATGTAAGAAAGAAGATTTTTTAATTCACAATCCAATAATAATTAAACCAAGGAGATGAGTTCAGGTGTTATGTCATCAGAAACTTTATTACTAAAACTAGAAGTGACATAGGAGAGTTAAGATGCAGGAAAGGGTGATTTAATACATAAAAATAAAATAGCTTTAAATGCTAATTAAAATACAGATGTGACTAATTAAAATTATCGTATATTAAATCTGAACTTTTACTTTCTTTTTATGAACAGGACTCAACAATTATGTTTTTTAGTGATTAGTACTACAAAACCCATCAATAAGCCTTTAAGGCTAGATTTATCCTCAATCTGCACAAAGCCTCAGAATATGGTAAACTACCTGATACATGTTCTGAAGCCATCTACACAAGCATGGTTTTTTCCTCTCCCAGTGACGGCCTGACCATGAGTCTCCAGGAAGCGTAAATGATACAGTGCTAGAGCTCGGTGCCAACAGAGGGCCTGAAGCAAGGAGAGCTGCATCTCTAGCAAGAGGAAGGCGGTTAGGGAGCAGAGAGCCAGCGAGAGCACACGGGGCAAGCAGGGGAGAGGAGGAAGAGAAAGAGTAGAAGAGGGAGGATGAAGGCAGGCCAGAAGTTGGAACACTACTGCTTCTCTCAGCAAGCTGGGGTGTGTCACTCACCTGGTGAGTGCTGTTAGAGCCCGTCATCCAGGAGTGGGATTAAAAGGGGCCTTTGCTCATTCTCAATACTGCAGCCTATGCAATTCCACCAACCCAAATTATGTAGACCAAAACAAAACAAAACAAAACACACAGGTGACTTTGTTAAAAGACACTTTATGTTCAGAGGCTGTCAACATATTCCTTTTTACCAATGACTTCTAAAATCAAGTTTAACTCCTATTAAAAGACTGAAAGTACAATGTCTGTTCATTAAAATACGGGTAAATGGACTTTTATAAGGGTGCGAGCTTAAAGAATATTAAAAAAAAATTCCAGAAATACTTAAAAACCCCAAAAACCTAGCTAAAAAAGCCTACATATGTCTGGTTAAATTCTTTTAAATGTTTGTTTAGGAAAATAGAAACTCTAACAGGTAATACAAAAACAAAACACATATATAGAGGTCCTCAATATCTACTAGTCAAATACCTGAGGTAGGGCTTCAGTTTCCAAATCATTTACATTATTTTCTCTAATCCTCACAATAGCCTTATGATGTAAGTAGGAAAGATGTCACTGTTTTATTTTAAAGATAAGAGACAGGCCCACAGAGTTAAATAATTTTTGGATAAAGTTTCAAGCTAGTAAAGGATAGAATGAAAATTAGAGTTTAGATTTCATGCTTTTCAATAAGTGTCACTTCCAAGTTTTCATTTTGAAAATTAGTGTAAAAGATACTTGAAAACCTAGGAATTTGTATTTCTTTAAATCATGCTCTAAATTGCCATACAACTGTCTAAATATGGCAAATACTCTAAGGCTTATATTTCAAGTATGTAAGAAGGGAAAATGCTTCAAGGATAAATAAGTTCAGGTCATCATTAATTTGTGAAAGTCATTTATTAAAGGAGAAGGAAGAAGAGGATGGGAGAAAACAGGAAGGATAAAACTAGAAAAGACCACAGCATTATCTTATTAAGAATATTCAGAAAATATTCAGAAGAACCTGGAGCCCTTGGAGCAGCAGCTGAGTTTCTGAGGTCTTTAACTTTCAGAAGGCCTAGAACTATACCATACTATCATAAACATAAATATTTACTTCAGCTACTTTGTGTAACTTATGGAGTCCTGAAATCATTAGAAATAGCTTTTGATGGTCAAAAAGTATGTCAGCTTATCCAACCCACTCTTCTAAAATATTTGTTTAGAATTTCCTACTGCTTTCGTATCTCTTTAGGGGAGATGGAGTATGTATGCCCACGCAAGTTATCTTATTTTAATTGATTGTGCTAGGGCTCTTGTTTTCAAATTCTCACTTTGCTCTCCTTGCTGCCTCATGCTACCACTGAGGTTAGTCCGATCCAAACTTTTTCTATTGCCTCTACCCGCATTTCCCAAAGTGTGTACTGCGGACCACTAAGGATACAGCTATTAGTAAGTGTTAATGTAAACAAACAAAAATGAAGAGGATCTTGCTAAACAATGCATAGGAACCCCCCTCCTGGAAAGTCACAAAGGACATTAGCATATTAAAGGCTATAAGAAATCCTGCAGTGAAGAAAAATGTTTATTTTTGCTTAATCCATCTTACCAAATTATTTGATATTTCCCCACTATAATAAGAAAATCCTGAATCACCAAATTGGTTACACTGGATCATTTTTAATAAAACCCTACTGAGTATAAATAACATAAACATAAAACTCAGTATACATTGATACATATATGATGTCACATTGATATTATCAAACAGTATTTCTTTGGGGAAGGGGTATTGGCATTATTTACATTTGCGTAATGATTTATTAGTTTATTTTTTCTTTGAAGAAGCTACCTGGTCAATTAAAAACTCTGACCAAAGGAGATAAGGCCAAGGCTGACTACACATGTAGCAATATTTAAACACAGAGCTAACACCAGTTTAATACCTTTTATCTTTAAATGCTAAGTTCTCCAATTGGCTTCTCCAAATTATATCATCCTCTGTTTTATTGAAGAACATCAGCTTCACTTTCCTTAAAAGAAAAAAACAACAACTCAAAAATAACTATTTCGATTACATTTAAAATATGCATGAATGGAAAGTCTAAAAGTGAACTAGCATGAATGTTTTTCAATGCCAATTAGGTAACCAAAAACATCAAAGCAAAAAGAATCAAGTTAATAGAACGGCTAGGACTTGAGCAGAGTAAGAAATGAATGAGGGGATGAGAACATGTTTTTTAAAGCCCACTGAGTAATTAAATTTAGAATACCTTATACTAATCTAACGGCCTCACAAAGGATAGTAATTAAGATAAAATTACATACCTGAGACTGGGTATATTAGTCAAAGCATAATTCAGTATTTTAACCATTGGTGTGAAGCCTGTTCCAGCTGCCAATAAAAAGAGATCTTCTAATTCTTGGAACTGGGATATTTTAAAATTGCCCTCAGGACTGCTTACGGAAACAAAATCTCCTAAACAATGAAATATAAACTAAATCAGAAAAAAAAAAATCAGGGGAACTGAGAAGGCTAAACCTAACTGAATTTAGAACACTGATGAGTAACAGAATGAATGCTTAACTTTCAGACTATATCTCAGTCTTTAAGGTATGGAAGGAGTATTAGGAGTATTCATTAGGCCCCCAAGTATGTCTGAATTATATCACTATAATCAAATTAATAATGGGGTTTTATTACACTCACTTCCCAACATTATTTTCCCAAGCCATCTGGAGACTCTAATTTACCAAGTACTGCCAAGTATTTCAGTTCAAATTATCAATAAAGGGTTGATTGCTAAATTATAAGCACTTCAAAAGCAGAGTCAATGTCTACTTGTCTTACACCATACATGGTAGAGAAGAGATATTCACCACTTACAAACTGATTCTTAACCACAGTAATAAGACTAGTAGGAGAGAAAATTTAAATAGAAATGTATTTTAAAATCTTGTTAGTAAATGGGCTAACTTTGCCTCCATCAGATCTGTGAAAAGATTTATTGATTAAAATAAGTGCTGTTCTGAATTCAATTTCTATAAAAACAAAGCAAGATCAGAAACTGTGCTTGGAGCATGCTATTTCCCAATATGAAATCAAAATAGTTGAGAAAAACATTTTCTGCAATGCAGTTGATATAACCCCTATGTACCACTCATATAAGAGAATTTACCTTTAGGATGTTACAGAAATTTTCAATGTGATTAAAAAAATAAATAAAGCTGTCCATATTTTAAGAACAATTTTATGTACTCTGGTTCATTTTAAAATGCTTGGATGTTCATAACTTTTCCTTGCTTGTCGACAGAAGAATAGTAAGAGTCTTGCAGTAATTGATGAATTCAACATTAGAAAGTAACAGAAGCTCATTGTAATAGTTTGAAAGGGACCATAAGATAAGACTATCCTCAGGAAAAAGTCAGATGATTGTTTAGTAAAGAACCACAGAATAATGTTAACATGGTAACTTTTGTTCACAGTCTAGCCCTTTCAATGTCATAAAATTGATAAGACTCAGACAAGGTACTTGAAGCTAATTCTCAAGAGATTAAAGTACACATGCCAGATGGCCACTGATTTACAGCCAGGCTATCTGAATCTAGTCACCTGACTTTAGGCATCTTATTCATTTGACATTTAAAAAAACCAAAATAATCATATAAAAGTTGCTGCTGAACATGGGATGTTAGTCACCTTCACTAGGTTTGTGGGTATTTCAAAATTCATTAGGTTCACGTTTGTATTCAACGTTTTGACTTACGTAACCAAGATGACTAATCACATCGTTATGCATAGATTTCTAAGCTTAACTTCCAGAACGCATCACAATTTTCTTTATTTCCAAATTTTAGTGACCTAGGTCACTCTTACTCCAATGTATTGCTAATACCACCTTAGAATAGGGAAGAGCATGTTTACTGTTAGTCAAAGACTGAGGAGTTGAAAACAGAAAAAAGAGTAGAAGCAGAAGGAAGATTCTCTAAACCTTAATAAATTTCATTGTAGTCCTTTCAGTCATTCTTTCAAAGTACATTTATTGAGAGCCTATTATGTGCCAAGTGCATGTTAGGTGTGGAAAATATAAAGATAAAACACTCTATCTTTAAACTCTAAGTCTTGTATAGAAGAATATTATTTGTTCTTATCCTGGAGCTATGAACAAAGTGTTAGTCATGGGGGAGGAGAGGAGGGATGTTCAGAGGAGCAGGGAAGGTTCAGAAAAGAATATTTTGTTTGGTTCTTTAAAAAAAGGCACTTGACAGAGAAAGGGTTGATGGACATCCTGGGTGAGGCCACTGCATGTACCTATGAATGAGGATGACAGGCTTGTATAACTCTGAGCAGCACAAGGATTTTGCAAAATGAGAGATGAAGCTGGAGAGATCAAGCAGGTCTTTTGCAGACCATGCAGGGGGCTTAATCAGTTAGTCGATGGAGACCCATCCCAGGTCTCAAAGCTGCAGAGCAACATGATCAAATCTATCCTCAGGGCAGCTTGGAAAAAGAAGTGGAAAATGCCGATAAATATTGGTTGTTGGAAAAGCCATGGCACATTTTTGCAACAAAAAAATAGAAAAAAAGTCATGATTTTTCTGACAACCCACTAGAAGGACCCCAGTTTGAGGCAACTGAGAGACCACTTAGAGTCTAACAGAGAAATGATGAAGGCTTGATCTAAGAAGGGCTAGAAAAGAAAGACCAGGAAGTCACTGGAAGGTAGACTCAGTACAATGCAGTGGCTGACTGGATTGGGAGGATGAAAATGAGAAGACTCAAGGATGACTCCGGTTTCCAGACTGGGTTAAGGATGGATCAGTGATGTTGCAGATCATACAGATGAATATGGGAGTAACGACAGACTGGGTGGGGCAAAGAGAACACGATTTTGGTTGTAGACTCGTTGAGTTTAAGATGTTTGATAGACTCCCAGATGGAGATAACAAGAGGGCAGTATAACATGTGATCCAATCTAGAATACAAATGTGTTAAAAAAAAAAAAAGAACAAAAAACCCCAAAATACTAACCAATCCGAAGATGATCAAGCTCTGGTGTGAAGAGTCCAGCAGGATAGATTTTGATGAGAAAGTAGATGTACTTATTGTTGGGAAGAACTGGTTCCGTTAATTCAGAGAGTAAGGAATGAGATACAGGTGTATATGGCTTCACTATTTCAGTACCTAGAAAGAGTCATGACAAAGAAATTCAATTCTAAAAATCTAAAAAGCTCTGAATGAAGATGAAACATACACATTTTATGATGCTGTCAGTATATATTTAAAACTGTATACCTAATGTTTATATAATTCTAACTATATATTCTATATGTGTACAGTATAGATATATATATATATCCCAAGTCTATATGTGCTGAAATAATTTTAACAAATTGATACTTTATAATATAAACAATCTGTTTTTATTAAGTGTGGCATAAGATAGAAATCTATGTTAAAACCCTCAGACCACCATCTAGTCCACCAGCATATAAACTTTGTAATGGGCAACAACATAAATGGCATCAAAAGTTTACACAGAGATGTAAGGACATACTTTACATAATAATTTTAATTATACACCAAAATTTTAACAATGATTATTGATCATTTATTTGGGTGTGAGAAAGGGAAGAATTTCACCATTTACTTTATATATTTTAAATTGTTTTAACATTTTAATATACTATATATTACTTTGGTAACTGAATGACAAGAATATTAATCCAACTACATCTTATAATAGAATATTAAAAAACAGAGTAAAATTAGTAAGAATTCATGTATAATTTAGCTAGTTAAATTCCAAAGACATAGGAGTCATCACACATTTGAGAGACCACGATGTTACACATGGCTTCTTGACATGTACAAAATTAATCTGTCTATTATAATACATTGACAGTAACTGCACTAGGGAAGATACCAGCTATTGAATGATAACCATTAGTGGTAATGAAGAGAAAAGCTCACAGTGCCCTTGTAATACACCATAGCCACCAGATCCTGCCTGGGAGTCTATTAGACTGATTGCGGGAAACACTATGACTGACATGGGAATGTTACCTTTTGCAGCTTCAAAAGGCCAAGAAAATGTTCAACACCAGTAAGAAGCATATTTAAAACAAGTAAATAAGATCATTTTATGAGAAAAATATAATCCACACAGTAAGAATTACATTTATAGAGTTTCTTATACTGGTGGCACATATAAAGAAATCATTTATAATCATCCTCTCACTTTGAATTTTATAAATTCATCTGCATAAACGACATAACCATAAGTGGCTATGAAGAGATGCTAATATGTGTTTCTAGGAGCTGTCTTCACGGAGGACCATTTGTGCCTCCCTCACTTCCTTCCTCTAAGGCTTTGTTAGTAATAAATTACAGTGCTGGTGGGACCATCTCTATGACTAGTGGCAATTTCTTTGTTCCACACGATAATATGGCATGTGTAGTTCCAACATGTAGGAACACTGCAGCCACAAACCTAGAATCGAGCCATCACTCAAACTATCTGACATTTATTAATAACCTAAATGGGTGCTTCCTAAAGAGGTTAGTACTGATTTTGAACGGCTTATAAAAGAAGAAACTTTCCCCAAAGCCTCTCTTTGCCTTACCTGCAATAGTTAGCTTGAGGTAAACATGTTGCCCGATTGGCACGTGAAGGTAAGAGCTTGGTGGCAGCATCAAGCAGAAAAGCTTCGTATCATGAGTAACATCTTGCTTGGAAATTAACTGGCACTTTCTGTAGTACAAACCTAAAAAGTGATTTTCTCTTATTGATGAATAAATTAAGTAGGAATACTCAACCCACAAAGTTGCAGCACAGACTCAAGCTTTTGCTCTTTGGGTGAGCTTGAATTTCACTAAAAGGATTAGATATTTTTAAAATCCATCAGTATTTTGAAAATCTTATAGTGTTTTTTCCATTTTATTTCCTGAGATATCTATTTTTCTAAAACATGTAAATACTTCTATAATTTGAAAGTGAACTTTATAAAGTGAGTATTATTTCCTCATGTCTGTTATAGCATGTTAAAGCTAAGAAATTAAAACCTAATTTATTTCTTCTTAAATTCACTTTTTTATAATTCTATCTTTTAAAGCCTTATATTAACAAGTTATATAATTAAATTGTAGATGTGAAAAATATTTGATAAGCAACAAATCTACATTCCAAATTCTTTTCTTACAAAATAGAAAAGTTTTGAAACTCAGTATTTAAAGTTGAACAATATTAGCACTATCAAATAACTTTAGAAATACTTCTTAGATAAACACAGGAAAAAAATACACATTCTTGTGTCTCTATGTTTGTATATATGTATTATATACGCATATGTATTATAGAGCATATCAACTGTTGAAAAATGATTAAAAATAAACTTTAATGTTTAAGGGTGCAAGATTCGATTACCTGAAAAATCAATTTAAGTAAAAGCTGAAAATGCTAGGTTTGTGGTACTAAAATACAAATAAAAAAAGGAATCAAGTATTTCTATATACTATAAATATGTGAAATTAATAACCCAAGCTAAGAAAATATTATTTGTATACAGAGCAAAAGAATATCACTAGGATCAGAAAAACTTGCTTTAGAATTTCTGAAAGCATTAATATTTTCACTTGTAAATTATCTTTTGGATGTAAGCAGACTAGACTGATATTGGTTTGTTTCATTATTTCCTCTTTTATAAAACAGTATTTACAGAGATGTATCAGAAATCAACCCTGATAAAGCAATTTTTAATCTTAATTATTCTCTCGCCCTCTTTTTTTTTTTTTAAAGATTTTTTTTTTTTTTAATTGGAGAAGGGGGGATGGGAACAGTCCTGGGGAATTGGGGGAAGGGGAACAGACAAGTAGCTGTTGTTTTGTTCTTCAGTCTAGTTGTGGAGGACGTTGCTTCACTGGCCCAAGTTGGCACCATCATTGCGCTCTTCCCGGGCGAGGCACATCAGTCGCCGGCTTCTGGACGGCCACTCACTGTGGTTGCTGGCCGCTCATGCTGGCTGCTGGCTACATACAGTAGCCCATGGCAACCCACTGCCACAGGGGCTGCAGCCTACTCCGTTGCCAGCGACTCACGGCAACCCAGCTCCAGGTTGAGCTGTTGTTCAGCATCTTAGCTGTAGAGGGCAGTGTCACTGGCCCTCATATGTGGGATCCGAACCGGGGCCCTCTGGCGTTCCAAGCGAGTTCTTAACCATAGCGCCACTCAGCCAGCCCCTCTCATCCTCTTTTTTTAACCTAAAAGTATTTAAGTGTGTGCTGAAAGATTTACTCCAGATTATAGGATATGGAGGCCCAACATCTAATAATCAATGGTTAATGGAAAGCTGAAATTCACAATCCTAAGAAATTATTTTGGCCTGAATTTCATCCAGTTCCCCTTTTTCCTTTGTCCCTTGTGCCCCCCAAAGATCTTTCCGCCTGCTACTTGGTAGCCTGGTATGCATATAAGTTTACAGGGCATTACTGTATACACAAACATGACGCATCATTCAAGTCACCTCATTCTAGTGGCAGGGCATAGCTGGGCCCAGATTACAGCCTAGGGTACCATCCTAAAGTTATCCTAGAGGCCTAATCCAGTGCTGAACTGAAAACAGATCAAAGAACATTGGTTCACCCACAAGCAGAAATGAAGGTTCAAATCAGAAAGGAATCGGATCGCCTTATCCCCTTTTCCAAACCCTTCTGCAACCCAGAGTAAGAATAAAATTAGCGACCCACATACTACATGTCTAAACATTTAAGTTATAAATTAGATGAATAACTGTTAAATAAAATATGTCCTATGCTGTATCTTGAAATACATCTTCATAAACCTAGAAAGCTAGGTTCAAACTCTGGATTCCTGATCTCAGAGTTCCACGCAGGAAGACGGCAGAAGGATGAGAGCTGTACCCCCACTGACTGTACGGCCTTCCTCTCTTCTCTTCTCACCCCCAGCTCTCTTTAACACTTAGTGCGGCCTTATGAGGTGTGGGCACACCAGCCCATATGTTCATGCTCCATCCACTAGCTCTCCCCATAAACAGCCTTGGCCGTCTTGGATAGAAGTGGATTGGGGGCCATTTGAGCAGGGAATTCTGGGGTTCTGATACCTGGGGTATGATATTAAAGAGTGGACTCTGGGTGGACATTTCTTGGCCTTGCACACTCATCCTGTGGGAGGGGTATGGCTGGAGGAGGGCCACTGTGAAGTTCTCCATGTGTGGAATCCGGGGCAGAGGCCCCTCCTGCCCAGGTCTAAGGGCTCTAGTGCTTTCCTCTAATCAAATCTACTGAATGCCCTTCCAATATCTTTACTGCTGGATGAAAAGGTTTGCATTCTGACTTGACGACTTCTTGTCAACACTAGAGTTTGCAGGAAAGGGTTTGCTACAGTAAATATGCACCTCTTCAACTGTACTTGGGACACAAGGAAACCCTGGGTGTTACAGTGATTTACTGACTTTCCTTGTTAGACGGTTTACAGTATTCTTGCTATGTAACACCACTGAGATAATTTCAGCGTCTTTCCTATGAAAGGCTGCCACAATTTCAAAAGAACATCCTAACAATAACTTCTAAAAGTTTTAAGAAAAATTCAAGAAAGTTTACATCTTTCAATTGGACTGAGGAGAGAGACAGCATAGACAGACTGAGCACATGAGGAAAAAAGGAGTATAAATAAAACAGATGTGCTGGCTACTTCAGCCTAGACAATGCCATTAGTTAAGTTCAGGTGTTTGGTTTTTGGCTCTCTAAGCACAGATAAATTATACAAGAAAATGATAAGAAACTGCAATAAATATAAGATGGTGGAACAAAGCCTCCATAAAATCCCAGTATTGTGGGGTTTGCAGAGCTTCCAGATGGGTGAACACATCCACACCAAGAGGGTGATGCCCCCAACTACTCAGGACCCTACTATTGGGTTGTCAGAAGAGTTTTTCTATGTTTTTCGTTGCAAAAATGCGTCATGACTTTTCCAATAACCCAATAGATCTTGCCTGATATATATCTTCATCTGGCTGTTCATCTATATTCTTTATCTATCCTTTAATAAACTGGTAAATATAAGTGTTTCCCTGAGTTCTATGAGATGCTCTAGCAAATAAAACAAACCCAAGGAGGGGGTCTTTGAAATATCCAATCTATAGCCAGTCAGTCAGAAGCACAGGTGATACCTGAGCTTGTGACTGGCATTTGAAGTGTGTGTGTGTGTGTGGGGGGGGGCGAGGGGGAGGCAATCTTGTGGGACTGAGCCCTTAACCTATGAGATCTGATGCTATCTCCAGGTAGATAATGTCAGAATTGAATTAAAATGTCAGATACCTAGACTTTTTTTTTGTCAGACACCTAGACGTACTGCAGAGAATTGCTTGTTGTGAGGAAAAAATTTAACACATTTGATGATCAGAAGTGTCAGAAGGAAATGTTCTGTGTGAATAGTAACTGAGACAACACAAGAAAAAAACTGTAGAGAAAAACTGGATTTTCCCTACATCGGAAGGGAAAATCTGGGTTTTTCCTTTACAGAATCTGTCACAGTTCATAAAGCATGGGCCAGGCTGATTTAGCCTTGCTAGCTGTCTGCTTCTGCCAAGACAGGGACCTTAATAAGCAATGAACTTGCACAGGGAGCACAGGGAGGGTGTTCAGAACACTTGAGAACGAACTATTTTCAAGCATTGTACAAATGTTTAACATTTGACTGCTGATAAAATAACTGAAACTCATGAAGTCATTAGAATGCCTTCCTATACTAAAAAAAACAAATTACATGCTTTTGAAAGTATTAATTGCATTTATTTTTTTTAAAAAATGATTCAGCCTTTTCACTGATTTTGATAAGACTGCCTCTTAATATCTAGTAGTATAGTTTTATTATCCTCATCCAAACCACTCTTGTATATGTGAATAAGTAAACATTCACAACATATCTTCAAACACTAGGAATGACAAATATCTATGGGCACCTATGTTTACTCATATATTGGGGTAAAACATTATGAAGTAGAATGCTCAAAGACTGAGAATTTCCATATATGATTTTTAAAATTAGTATTATGAAATTGACAGTAAAGCATAGATTCCTTTCTGTTTTAACTATTATTGTTTAAAAATATACCTAAAGTGTATTAAGATGTTTTGCTACCTCAACTAGATTGATGTAAACTGAACCTTTCTTTCAAAGTAAGGGTTTTCTAGAGTTAAACGTCAGTGTTAAACTAGGAGAAAGGCAGCTCTTTCTCCAAGACTAGATTCAATGGGGACTTAGGCAACATACCATTTAGCAAGATAGTGACTAAATTTGAACATTTCTATGACTATCACCTTTCCTCTCATGTTCCATAACTAATAATTCAGCCAACGTTATACAATAAAGTGCCTGAATCACCTGAATTTTAACTTTTTAAAGTTCTATTTTATCTTTTAATGTAGTAAATAATTTCTTACTCAGTTACAGTCTGCCTATCTATTGTGTGTTTCTTCAGGTTTCATATTCAGGCCATTCTGATAGAAATGAAAATAAGACAAGATATCAAAGCATCTTATAGTTATTGTGCAAGCAACACCTTCATGCTCTCTGGACAGAGACAATTTAAGAGAACAAACCACAGTGAAGTTTTTATTTGCTAGCCACAATATTTATTCATTTCTAGTAATTCTGAATGTTTATTTTAGGCAGCAAAGAAACATGGATGCACAGGAAAGGGTTGGGGAGAGGTGAGTGTAGTCTGTAAGAAGAGCTGTTCATGGTGAG